TACATTGGACTTGAGTGTGAGTGGTTATAGTAGGATGATACCGGAACATGGCTTTTCTCAGTGGAGTTTGCATGTTCTCCTTGTGTCTGTGGTTTCTTCTGGGTACTCCGGTTTTTGCAGCAGATTTGTACTGGTATAATGATAGTTTTGGTATTATATCATAGTTTTGGGTTTGTCAGTACCAGCTCGGTAACTTATCAATTCATCTATTCACATGATCGTAATCTATTATCTTAATTATAACATCCTGTTTGATGTATGCTCTTTTTTTCATTGTTTTTGACAACGACATTGAAAATTCCCCACTGAGGGACAAATAAAGTTTTATCTTATATTATCTTAAGTTTTTAGTCTCCAATTTATTTAGTCGGCTGCAGTCTAAAGACATACAGTGGCTTAAGATTCATTCTTGGATCAGAAAGATATGGAAATCACAGACAGTACAGTTCCCATTTCCAACCTTTATAAGAATATAGTTGCCAGCAAAGGATTTCCTGGTTGCCGCGTGCTAATTCAACAATGACTCCCTGAAGTATGAGTGTGAATTTCATATTTTAGACTTTCACATCTATCATTGCAACATCAGTCTACTATATTTTACTCTGAGCTTGCTTTGAAAACACGTTTGAAAACTCACTGTTTTTATGTATTTATGGAAAGTGAGTGAAGGACATTTTGGGCAGCAGATGTTGACATGTTTTCAGGTTCAGCAGCTGTTTCTCCCGCTGTTTTGTTTTCACAGATTTGAGAACTTGTTGCAAAAACAATGCAATTACTTTATGGTCGGATCCCAAAGTGTCTGTAACCAGTAGAATGAGATGGTGATCGTGTGGTTGTTTTGAAGGAAGGTCATGTGAGGAGCTGGCGGGAGCCCAGAGATGAGGAGCTGTGACACCGTGAGGCAACAGCCCTCATAATGGACTGTCAAAGTGCGAGTTGTGATTTGCAATTATTAGCAACATAATTATGAATGCTGTTGTGAATATAGTACATACAGTGCAATTCTCAGTGTGCTGCATAAAGATAATACAAATTAAAAAATGGAGCAAACTATTTTTAAATGTTTGCAAGGTGTTTAAACTGTTTGTCGGAGCCGGAGATTCCGAAAAAAAACATTAGCAGAACTATCCTGGTTAAAGGGGATAAGATCAACTATATTGATCTCACAATGGAGACATTTACAATGATACAGTGACGTCAGCAACTAAAATGGTATTTCATTTTCAAAGTCATTAATTTTTCTGACCATGTGAACCTTTTACTATTATGTGCAATAAGTGTTTTTCAATAATATTGTACATATCATGAATACGACCAGAAAGATTTGCTATAGTTGAAGGTTTTGAATGTATTTTGATCAATCAGAAAGCTGTCTTGTTTTCACTCTCTCAACATTTGAAAAATCCACTTGAAATAAAAAAAAGAACCGTCTTTTCACTTTTGTGTCTTTGTTGAACTTGTATATTTTGAATGATTTACCTCTTTCCTGTGAACAAAGCATGTCAAAGAGATCAGATCAAGACAGGGTTAAACGTTTCTGTTGAATTGCTTATACATTTTTTCATCACTCACGAAATACTAATGCTGCAGTGAAAAAGGTTAAGTCTTATTCTACTTTCAGTGGAATGCAAGGTGAATATTGAATAATACAAAAGTCATCCCATTCACTTTCTATTTATTGTGCCCAAGGAGCTGACTTTCACTTTTGAATTTTTTACTCATGATAAATGCTCGTATTCAGTGCTTCTTTCCCCTTCGGCGACTGCTCTTTCCAAAGTTGCTATTCAAACAAACTATTTCACGACTTCAGAGTTTGTTTATGGGCCTACCAGTATTTCCTCTGAAAAAGGTCTTTCCTCCTGTAATGCACTAGTTGCGGTAGGAAGTATTGGCAGGAAAGATGTGGCCTGGATTTGACTCTGATGTGCAAAATTTGAAATGGGACCAGCCAAAAGTTCATCACTATTGTGGATGAGATTTCAAGTAGTCGATAGATGGCATTCATTTGACCATAGGAAAGATTTTGTTATTATTTGTTAAAGCTAGGGAACCTAACTTTTTTATCGTACATTTTGTTTGTTCCAACAGAAAGAATCTTGTAGAAGAGTAGAATTAAATGTACAAATCAGACCTCCGACCATTGTTACCGTAGCATAGCCTTGTTTGTCACTACTCATCCTACTTGTGCTGACTGCTGATTGGCTGAGTGAGGGTGGTCCTCTCTCTTTCACTATATTGTATTTAAAAAGATGACAAAATGCATGCATGTGAAAATTATTGAAACCAACTGAGAGCATATCTCCATTTTAATTTGAAAGATAGGTATGCAAGAAAAGTGATCAAAAATTGCTCAAATTTGGCCAAATGTATCTTAATTTTAGCATGTTTTGACTGCCTTAAAACAAAATGGAATAAGCTACATTATCTTGTTTTAAAAAGATTCAAGAAATGTCTCCCTTAGAATGAGAAAAAAATTCAAAATTTCATGAAATTAGACTAAATGGCTTATCCCATTGGCAAATCTTGTTTTAAGACAGTCAGAATGAACTCAAATTAAGATAAAGATTAAGATTCAAGCAATTATTACCTCATTTTGTACACTTTTTGCAGTGTACAATGGCATTGCTCTTCGCCCACCCCTTTCAAACTCGCTCAAATGTGGCAACATAAACCATACAACACACTGTTCTCTTAGTGTTGACAATATATTACCAAACCACCACTGTATGAATCACCATGTTCTCCCTTACTTCTCAGTACTTTGAAAAACAATGCTCCAACTGTTGCACATAAAGTCTTCATTGGAAAAAAAGATGCTGAAATCCCCAAAGAGCCTCTCCACCCATCATCCCCTCCCAAAGCTACGCACAAACCACCGCTGCCGTTGCATCGACTCTGGCTATCACTTATCGCACACTCACTTAAATTGTTTAGTTGGCAGAATTTGGTGTCAGCACAGCAGTCTAAATATAACCACCAGGAGAGTTAAATAAGGGCATGTAGCGGCGCAGGAAAGCCCGGTGTGAAAGAGGACCCAGTGGCCAAACTTGCGCAGCTCTTAATGGACTTGGAGGAGCATTGTCTAAAAGTAAAAATACACGAGTGACTATAAAGGAAAGTATGTCTCTGTGACACTCTATCCCCAGGAATTTTCCACTTGCGCCTGCGTAAAGTTCAGCATAAATGTTATAGGCCGTTACTTTAATATCACGTTATCTTTCTATCTATCTGTTAAACTATCCATCTATTGTCTTTTCTCTACCTGCTTCACTGCAAAAGGGGATGAAAGAAAAGTCAGCATATTTTGACTGCCTTAAAACAAGATTTGCCAATGGGACAGGATAAATTATCTTGCTTAAAAATGTCTCTCTTGAAATGAGAAAATAAAGCAACAGTTCTTGACCATCTTGTTTTAAGACAGAATGTACTCAAATTAGGATTAAAAAAACACTAGATTCAAGCAATTATTACCTAATATTTTATACGTTTTATGTGTTTTTTGCTTGGAATGTACCTCAGCATTTTTCAGATGGTTTGGTTGTTCAAAAACTGAATTCTTAAAGAAGCTATACCCAATTTTTTTTCTAAGTAGTTCATAAAAATGCTTATTACTACATATAAATTGTATTATAATCCATAATTTAATTGAAAACTTGAGGTCATTGATTCAGCGGTGTATGAGTTCATGTCGGCTCTCGTCTCCTCAGATATGACTCGTAATTTAGCCGAGATGTAGACGATGAAGATGTAATCCCTTTCTGTGGAACATTCCAGGCATCAAAACATCAACATTGAGACCCAAGCTAAAAACACAACCGTGGAAAGTTGCTTAGTCCAACTTTAAAGCTGGGGTTCCTCACTTTTTCCCCCACGTCATTAATACATGTTTTTTTTGTCCCAACAGAAAAAAAGTCTTGTAAAAGTAACAGTTGGTGAATAAATCAAACTACAAAACCCTTGTTAGTGGCAGTGACAAAAAGCCGGTGAAACATAGTGGGGAAAGTATCGGCAAGTAGAGGCAAGTAAAAAAAATAATAATAGGAATGCCACTATCTGTGTCATCAATACATTTTATTGAGAAACTGGCCTTAAATTGCCCTTTGCTCATACATTTAGTGAGTCACAATTATCACTCACTGTTTCTGAACTTAATATTTTTAGAAATCCCCTTGGCAAACTTGTAATAACACACTTTTGGATACTTTGGGCTGACTGAAGGTGGTCCACTTTGGTCCACAAAAAATTATACATATATATACAAAATTGACAGAGGCCAAAAACTAGAATCCTCGCAAAAAGTAGTGATTGTCTCTGCTTTAAAGGAGATCGTTTCTTAGTTACGGCATATGGATTTTACTACAAAGTCCCATTGTTGTGGTACCACCAGCTTTAGCTTATTCATTAAAACAGGAATGTCCAGTCAGTCATATGCATATTAATAAACTGGTAGTAGACCTTTTGAGGAGCTCTGCGCAGTGCTTTCCGTTTGACTCTGTTGTTGTGGTTATGAATGAGGCTTGTTTACTCTTCCCCTGCAGGACCATGTGAGCCGGACCCCCGCCCCCCCCCCCCCCCCCATTGGCCCATGCCGTTTCCATGACACTGTTCTCGTGGTGGTCCTGCCAGTCCTCACGTCCCAAAAAGCATCATCTAATAGCGTTCACAATTTATTTTTTATTATTATTTTTCACTTTTTGTTTTGTTTTCAAAGGAGCCGAAAAAAACAATAGGGGACTTGAAAACTGTGAAAACCCAGACACACAGATATCAAATGACCGTTTATCTCCCCACACAGACTCTAAACTAATCCTGCTTTGGTCCAGTGAACTACATACTATAGACCCACCTCCCTGTAACTATATAGGTGTTTTTTACAGGCTATATAAGGGTCTAATAGTTTACATGGATGTCTGCTGCCCTCTACTGGATCTCACAACATTCAACACTCACCATTTCCACAATCAAGTGGACATGATTCTTTGTTTTTTCTTGTCTTTCAGTGGCTTCTGTGAGTTCCAGGACAGATTTCTGCATGCAGGGAATGACGACTCATTTCAAGCCGAACAAAGCATTAAAGGTTGGTGTGATTTGCTTTTCAGCGTCTTAAAATGTAATCTCAACACTATTCAATTCAGTAAAAAATGCTTAGAATGTCAGAATGCACAAGCTTTATTATGCTGTATTAGAGTAAGAAACAGCTTTTGAAAACATAAATCAGCTTTTAAAGAGTTTTCCATGCAGTTATAATTACTTCTCATTTACCCAAAGTTGTATTTTGTGCTCAATGTACATTTCATTTATTCATCGGCTGGGGTTGAGCTAGAAACATACAAACTGTATTAGTATGACTCAGTATGTATTTTAAACAAATGTTTGGTGCTATTTATTGTTTGGAAATTGTGTTATTTAAAAATCAGAATGATTTTTATTGTCATGCAAGTAACAGAAAGTCACGGACAAGGAAATTGCTTTGGCTCTTGATGCAAACAAGTCAAAAGTAGAGAAAGAATAAGGCATTATAAAAAATTTCTGAAGTATAACATTTTATAAAATATGAAAACATTTAAAAACCAAAAAAGTTACAATTATTACAATAAGTGCACTCGGAGCCCAAACCAGCAAACATGTATCTAATAAACTTTCAATCCAAATTAAAGTACTCATTCTCTCTAAATGGATAGTCTTCTTTTGTTCATAAAAGGCCAAATAGGATTTGTACATGTTGACCTATTGGGGGACACAGACACAGACAAAAGTGTCCACCCCCCTAAAAATTATGACATATGGTCCCTTTAAGTATAGTTTTATATCAATAAGATGCAGAAAGATAATTTGCAGAAAGACAACATAGCACCATAATAAACATGAAAGCCTTTTTAGTGCCACACATATAACGTTTGAGCCCTTCTTAAGCATACCATTAGAATTTGATGACTAATTCTGTAAAGGGAGATATGTTTTTGTTGTTGTTGCAAATCTGCTCTTCATGTCTTTTGTCAGATTGTTTGTAAATTTTTGGTCCGGTCCAATAACCATCCATCTGGTAGCAGTGCCTTGACTTTGGCATTGTTCATCTGCCCGAACAGGTCAAGAAGGAGGCTGGCGAGAATGCCCCGGCCCTCAGCGACGACGAGCTGGTGGCCATGTCAGTGCGTGAGCTCAACCAGCACCTGCGCGGGCTGACCAAGGAGGACGTGGTGAAGCTCAAGCAGCGGCGGCGCACTCTCAAGAACCGGGGCTACGCTGCCAGCTGCCGGATCAAACGCGTCACCCAGAAAGAGGAGCTGGAGAGGCAGAAGATCGAGCTGCAAATGGAAGTGGACAAACTGGCCCGGGAGAACGCCAGCATGAGATTGGAGCTGGACGCGCTGAGAGCCAAGTACGAGGCGCTGCAGTGCTTCGCCCGGACTGTCACCCGCGGGCCACTGTCGCCGGGGAAAGTAGCCACCACCAGCGTCATCACCATCGTCAAATCGGCCAACAATCACAACAACAGCTCCGCCCCCTTCTCTGCCCCGTCCTAGTGCCGGCAGGGCTGGGCTCCCGTTCTCCGCCTGGTCCTTGAGGTTCAGCCTGGGACCCACTCGCCCTGAACTGAGGGGTGCTCAGCCAAGAGACTGAGGGCGCAGTGGGGCCTTAGCGATGATGCTGCATTCACACAAGTCTGTTTGTATATTTGTCTGTTTTGTGCACAATGCCCCCCCGTCCCACCAACTCCATACTAGCCCTCTGTGACCTGGCCTCGTGTCTGATAGCACACATTATTTATATGCCTTACTATATAGCACACGCCTATGTTAGAGATCTAGAGAGCCGCTGCCTTAACAGTTAAGTTTGACGAGGAAGTAAATAAACATGTTGTGGTGGGTGGGATGTGCAGAGCTGATGCCTCGAACGGTGATGTGAGGTCAGCTGGACACTGCGACTGTGATGTGAGGTCAGCTGGACACTGGTCATCTTGCACAAGTGATTCAATCCACTGCTCTTAGAACTCAGCCAAACACACAACCAGATGTTTTCACTGATTACTTTTTGGGAAAGTGTTCAGAAAAGCTGTGGAATTGGCAGCTAAGTGCATGGTTGGAGAATGGGCCAGCCTACTGATTGCTCTCAATGTGGATAGTACTGCACTTGTTGAGAAATGACTGAGTAGTGTTGCTGGGCTGGTTGTTCTGATGGTTTAGAGATAGGTAAGATAAGGACTGGTTTTAAAGTAAGTTGTAGAAAGAGTTAGAATGAGTACAGAATGGGGCTGTCCAGCCATAGTCTGTGATTTTGTTTTTAATGAACTCTAACCGCTTATAGATTTCTAAAGTTAGCACTTCAGTTAGAACTTTTGGACTGACAAATAACAAGAACAAAGTGACACAGCTTCACTGTATCTAATGCATAAGACTGTGTCTGTGCCAGACTCATAAAGATTCTAGAAGAGCAGTAAATGGTTATAGAAAGCACTTAAACTGTTTAGGTACAGTATAATCAGTTGGACCAGAAAAAAGGCTCTGCTGTGATATTTAAATGTGATAAGAGTTCAGGTGCGACCTGAAGAGTTGGAGGAGCAGGTAAAATGCCACAGCACCACAGTGCCTCTGTTAATGCCACGCTGATGTTGTCCATATTGGATGTTCAGTGAGTGGCTCACACAGGTCACACTTCCTGTATATTACAGACATGAACCTGGGGCTCTGCTTCATCTCTTCTACAAGTTCAATAGGAAAATCTGCTGCTGCTGCCGTAGCGACGCTCCGCATTGAAAGTCCGTCCAAATATCATTCCTTCCTCGGGTCACAGAGTGGCTGCTACGGCGCTTGGTTCTCACAGCTCTTCACTTGTGCTTTTGACATACTCTTCAGCAGAGAGCTCCTGACTCTGGGCTGTCACACTCCATACTCCAGAGATTTGAAGTTCACTGTGATTCATTGAAACCCGCACATTGTGTTGGGATCCATTCCTGATGGAGTGAGGGCAGCCTGCAGTCAGGACCTCTGCTGCTGAAGAGGACACAACTGTTTCCCCTGTTGGGGGGCTTGCTGCTGTTTGACCTGCTGCGATTGGGAAGCAGGGCATTGCTGTGTCTGACTTGTATTTTCACTTGGTTGTATTGTGTATACGTCCCATATACTGTATTTACCTTTATATGCATATATGATATACATTACATATTTTTCTGTATTTTTTTCTTGTACTATTCTGGGAGTGGTGTGATTATGTAATCAAGTTTAATTATGTCGATGCTGGCCTTTTTCTGAAAAAGCTGTGTTCACATGTTTTCAAAGTTCAATTTGTGTCTAATACACACTTCCACACAGCACTCAATTATTTAACTGAGATTATGTTCCAAACATACTAACAGAATAATGCAACTAAATGCAACCATTTCTTTTCATTAGGGCCGTGCTGGATTTCCAGATGGAAAAACGGACAAAGTGCAGATACTATTGTATTTGATTCAGCTCTTAGTAGTTTTGTAGTACATGCACGTTCTGTCTCAGCCTTATAGCTGTAGCTGTTGTTCAATGTCTTATAGGACTTGTTTGAAGACATCTTTTTATGCTCAAGGACAACTCCAAGATATTTTTTATATATCTTTTGCTACTAAAATATTACCTAAAAGCTGCTAAAAGACTGTCTAAATCTTTTCATGGACGCAGAAATATATATAAGACAGCATGTTTACATTGTGTATTTTGACTCAACTCCTCAAAATAAAACATGGACGTGACAGTGACATCTTGTGGCAAACAAACTGCTACAAGACTAACTATAAAGTGTCAACTCCTCCGTTTGAAGCATAACAGATGTACGTTTATTTTTGTGCCTTAAAGACAAACCTCTCTCAAGGGGATCTCACACAAAATACTGCTATAGGGAAGAATACTTTACATTATTATTACTCTTCCCCATTGAATTTATGACTGAAGTTCAAGGCGTGAACTGGTAATGCAATTTTTTTTTTTTTTTTTTTTTTTTTAAAGCTATAGAGAAGCACAAGTAGGAGGTTGATGCTAACGTCCTCCAAAAGTAGACTAAGCTGTTTAACCTATTCTCTGTTAAAGCTGAATTGTCAAGTTATAGCTCATTATTATAGGATAGAACAAGCTCCAGAGTAGAAGTATATTGGGGCATTTAAAAGTGGTTGTGGCTGACTAAACTCCTCCATCAGTGCTATGTTCATAGTCCGGAGGCATTTTGAGTGACCGTAAACAAGGGCAGATAAAAGGCAGCATAAATGTTACCCTTTCACGACTTGTCATTACTCATGTTTTATATTTATTTCATTGTGTTATGTAATTTTTGAAAAAGCCTAAATTATTTTCATTTTACGTGTTTATTTTACATCTATTGACATTTTTTTTCAACCCTTCTTTATGAATAAATCTGTCTGATTTAACAATTATGAATTCCTACTGTCTTATTTCCAAAATCAGCACAATTCAATGAAGTACTTTTTTTTTATTGAGTGCCAAGGAGAGGAAGAGAGAGAGAAAACCTTGTCTCAAACACACATTCATATCTGCTTTTCAAAAAGGCAGCTCATTGGCACTGAGAAGTATGATTATAGAACAAGTTTACAAATATCATTCAAAAGCAAAACAGTACTAGCCGGATGTACTTATGCTGTCGGGGAGTTATAATCAAAAGTTGCAGAGAAACCACCAAACTCAGAGGCATATATACAATACTAAATTGTGACATAAAATGTTTCAAAAATCACAGCACAGACAATTTTCAATAAATAGTACATTTAAAATATGCTTGATTGAGTGACACGATTTTGAGTAGGAAAATACCTGATAAATACCTATAATATTGCTTTAAAGCTGCGGTAATTCAATTCAATGTATTCTTGTATAGCCCTAAATCTCAACAGTAGTTATCTTAGGACTTAACAAAACCAGTGGTACCAAGGTAACCGAGCTTTCAAACCAAACATAATAAATCATTGGCCATCTTTAGATCAGCTTCTTCGGACCAAAAAGTAAAACAAAAAAACAAAAAACAAAAAAGACCACCTTCAATCAGATCTATGCCCAAAGTTGTCAAATTGTGACTCACAGGGTTCTTTTGTACAAGCATGCAAAAGAGAACATGTTTTTTAAGGTGAAAATTGCATGTTGTGGACTTGTTTTTTTAAAATGTTTACTTTAAGACTTCCTCTTGGAACAAACAAAGCATATTATTTGTTAAATCCATGGTACCTAACTTTTTAGAATAAGTGTTGAGTGATTCACAATACTAAAATATATAGTCATAATGCTGTTCTCTGGCTGCCTGGAGTTGATTTTGATTGAAGTTTCCTCTAGTCGAGCACTGGCTTTAGATTTAAGTACGTACAAAAAGAACCAACCATTTTGCACAATTTCACAATCCCTCAAAAGTGGATTAGAGAACAAAGACACCGCCAAAAGCTTAAACTTCTGCAGCAAAAAAACAAGCTACTTAAAAGCTGTCAAATCACCGTTAGTTATCGAGACATTAGAGAAAACCACCACTCCCACTTTGAGGGAGAGAACTTTATCCAATTTGTCCCTGTAGTCAAGATACAAAAGAACTTCAGTTGGCGTTTTTGAAGCTCTAAATATGGATGCGGATCTTTTGTCGGGAAAATCACTTAAGAGGAACGGCTCAGCAAAACTTCAAAACAAGACCAGTCCAGGAAATGTTTTTTTTTTTTCTCTCTCCCTTTTACATTATTCCCAATTCACTGTGGACTACACTTCACTGCTTTCCACCTGGAGACATGGATAAAGCATTTGATATGTTTTAAAAAGGATATATCTATTTTGGGATTGATTCGAGGCAAACGACACTGGACCAGAATATATTTAAACATATTCATTTGAAGGTAGCGTGCTGTTTGTCACAAGATAAAACCATCCATAAATGTGTCTACACAGAAAAAAAGCCTCTGTATTCTTGCTTATGTACTCAAATCAAGAAAAAACTAAAATGTCTTTAGACAATAGAGCAAATTTCATGAGAGCAAATGATATATGGAATGGTAGGCTACATCCCATTCTTATTCCCTTTGGGGTCTGCACTGGATTTTCAATAAAACAAACTGGTTTTATTCATATCGGATCACACTACTACACCACCATTCATCTCTATCTCTATATGCCCCAGAGTCCATCTCGTTGGGAGAAATGCACAGAAAGCGCGTCTGTGCTACGAACGAAAGCAAAATTAAATATTCCGGACGGATAAAACAAGTCTGATTATTTGTAGACGTAATCCAGCTCTTCCGCTATCCTGTTGAGCCATAATTTATACACACATAACACAATCAGTATTATATAGAGGATGGTACAACCAAACCACGACTGCATTTAATTGTTTCCCCTGGGTTCGACAATACAATAATAGAGGTGAGGTGCCTGGAAGTCTTCCCAGGCGCGAATACAATTAAGCAGCCCGACAAAAAAACAAACAGCCAAAAATGTATAAGCGAACCTCGGCGGTGACGACTTTAAAAGCAGCAATGCCATTATGGTAACTTTTTTGTTACCACTTTAATACAAGAGAAAGCAGTCGGTTAGCCATGTCCACCTGTCATAACGGTCATAAAACTCATTCGTTAGGACACATGGCATGAAAAAGCACGGCAAAAAATCAAAACAACAAAAAAACACAAATCCACGCAATTTTGAGTCCAGGCGTGTAAAAAAAAAAGCAGTTGTGTCTTTATATACGATTCACACAAATATTATCCGGTTTCTTTTCCATCGCGAGCGCATTTGGTCTCGCTGTGCTACAAAGCCGTTTCCCCCAGGGTCCCTGAGTAAACAGCGTGGATGTGGAGAGATGCCTAGAACTCGTCGTCGGAAGTGATCAGCATGATTTTGTCGGACTTGCGGGGGTTCTTGTTGCCCCCGGCGACCTTCACGTTGCTCGGCGGGACCACTTCCTGCATTGACTGCTGCGTGTACTGCTGGTAGGCCGGGGAGAAGTTATGGATGGCGTCCTGGACCATGTCTCCCGGGTTGATGGTCTCCTTCAGCCCACTGGAAATACTCTGCATAGGAGGGATGTTGTTCTCTGTGGGGGAGACGCAGAAGGGATGAGATCGTCCAGAAAAAACACACAAAAAAAAGGCATAACTTAATGTCTGACCTGGAGGTAAGTCAGGGTATGGGGTAATATTCCACATAAATATGAATGTTGAGTGGTTGCGATGCACACATTTAGAAGTAGATCTCAACACTAAATCTGCATATTTTGTTCCAATTTCAATACCACTTTGATTATTCAAAAAAACATAATGAAACTCAAAAAACATTGTATGGTACCACAACAATCTGATATTAGGCACAAACAAAGAAATTGCTAATAAAATGCTGTTAAAATCACTATTATTCAAACTCGAACCACTGACCGTGAGAGGCTCAGATACACATGTTATACATCATTTTAAAGACCTTATGACGGGTTTTTAAAAAAAAAATAGTGGATATCAAAATTGCATGACAATGTCAATTTGAAAGAGATTCCGGCAAAAAAAATCCTATATTTTATAAAAAGAACGTGTTTTTCATGAATTTAAGCTGTCTATGCTCTAACCTGTGTGTGACGTCATAGCGGGTTACGCCCATGCATTGAAAACCATGGATCTATGCCAGGGGTGCTCACACTTTTTCAGCATGCGAGCTACTTATAAAAGGATCAAGTCAAAATGATCTACCTACTACAAAAATGCAAACCATATATTTATTTCAAAAAATATTCTTTATCTACAATGTATGTTTATGTACATGCAAAACCGCATGAGCCAATATAGCACAACACAACACAATTACCTATGTACATTTTTTGTCATTACCCGAGTTTACTCTTATGACTTGCACTGAATTGAATCGGCCAGGGATGCATAGTCCGGAAAATTGGTGGTAACTCGCTGACAAGTTTGTCGTTGTTTAGCTTTCCTGCACTGAGCGCGGTTGTTTGCGCATGTGCAGTCACCTAAGTGTCAGTAAAACATTACTGAGTAAAACACACATGTGCAGTCACCTAAGTGTCAGTAAAACATTACTGAGTAAAACACAGATGTGCAGTCACCTAAGTGTCAGTGAAACATTACTGAGTAAAACACACATGTGCAGTCACCTAAGTGTCAGTAAAACATTACTGAGTAAAACACAGATGTCATTTGACTGTGGTGCCATGTCCATGTGCTATGCCTGTTTTTTTTAAATCCAAATATTTCCCTTCCTCAGTTTATAAAATAATTTGCATCCACACATCTGCGTTATCAATCACATTCGTAACATTCCAAACATGTGCGTCTCTTACGTCCTGTCCTGCGTTGGGGAAAAACACAGAAGTGGGCGGAGCTTTGATGCAGACGCCGGTAACGGCACTTTTACAGTCATAGAAGACACTCAGAGTAAAGACGTATGTTTACAAGCACTGACCCCGGATCCTCAGCCCTGGTTTAGTCCTGGTTTAGTCCTTAGCCCTAGTCCTGAGTCCCCGCGATCACTTTGCTGCTCTCTGATGTGGAGGATGTTTGCTGCTGCAGCATCTCACAGCGAACAGTTTTTAAGGTAGTATGATCCATGCTTCAGTGATCAGAGGAATTTAGGGGGGTACTGTGGCGTGCGAGAACGCAAAACTCCGGTTATCTCTGTCTACACACAAATGCATTAACGGAGTTTTCAAAAATCTCCACTTTGCCCGGAGTTTTTTGTATATATTCGTTTAGAATGTGTATTTATTTATTTATTTGATGCGATCTACCAATACTACCTTTGCGATCGACTGGTAGATCGCGATCGACGTATTGAGCACCCCTGATCTATGCCACAGGACTGCCTTTTCTCTCTTCTCTCCACTGATGCCCAACACAATACTGCCCTCTACAGGTGACAATTGCTCACTACACATAAATTGCCGTTTTGAGTGTGAAAAAGTGTCCGAGGTGTGATTTGAACCCAAGTATCTGGATTGGCAGTGCATCGACACATCCACTGGACTATCTCAGTGACAACGAAATATTACATTCTAGTAGTTATCTTAGACTTGCTGTACACGGCCTTGTCATCTTGAATATCTGCGAAAAAAGAACGAATACCAAATTGTAAACAACTTACAGCGTTGAAACGTACCCACTCTGACGTCACCAAGGGCTGTGAAGTTTTTTCGTCTCTAAGGGCGTTGCTATGGGGTTATTTCAATTTGGGGGATCAGACAAAAAAAACAACAACTGATTTTGAAACCTTTAGTAGTTCTCTTCTAATATAAAATGGTATTAAAACTGTATTTCTAAATAAATCAAACCCGTCATAAGGTCTTTAAAGCTTATATTTTCTCACACTAAACAAATCGCCTCAGTCATCTTATTCTAAACCTTAAACACATTAATATCCATCTCACATTAGGGTCCAGTTTTGGTTCAAGCTCAAATATGTTCCAATTGTTATCCTGAAAAAATTAAGTTGAAAAAAAACCCGCAAAAAATCCTCAAAATACCGTAAACATTAGATGCTATACATTCAAAAGATGTTTTATTAACATGTCTGTCGCAAACAACAACAGCGGTCCTCATGCCTTGTTCACGCGGGCGAAGGGACTCAAGTTAAAAACGTTGGAAACCACAGGCCTGATATAACAACAGAAAAAACACCCCCATAATACAAATTTGACATACACCTGAGCCTCATTATAATAAAACCACTAAAAACAACTTCTGCTTGCCTTGTGTGTTCCTTGGATCTACCCAGTGTTAATCGGTGTATTTTATGAAGTAGAGCCTTAATTGAGCAGTGATTAAAAGCATAATCTACTCAAGTACCAGCCGTCTTTAATGGCTGCAAATTTATGACGTGCGCCATGTTAGCGTGATACAGTGCGAGAGTAAACAATGACGTTTATCCATCCTGATATTGAAAACAAAGCCCATTTAAACCACACAGAACTGAAAATAATTCAAATGATCGTTGATTTCAGCCAGCTCTTCACTTTCACAGAATACAAACGCAGATCCTGAAGACAAATTTCTAACTCTGTAGACAATAATAAAATACACGGGCACAGACAGACCGACCGACACCTATTCTACCACCATACCTGTAAATGTAATATGCATTTAAACTAGCTTTATTCAATTATTATACAAGATCTATGTCCTTCAATATTGATGAAAAACCTGTTTTGTGGGCCGTCAGCTGAGGTGAATCCATACAAATCCATTCAGTCATTACAGGCAATACTGATTGAAGAATATATCGAGACGCATAAAATGTCTTAACGTCGCATTTCACTGCTGTGTCTAAATGAGCCGAGCAGCTCTCAGTCACAGCCGTTGATAGTCCCCCGGCTCCCCACTGTGAGCCAGGTTCAATTCGTGCCGCTGCTAAATTGACTTCTGGAAAAAAAAAAAATGAAAGGAGAAAAAAAAAGAAGCATTGGCTGTGTGCTTGTTCAGGGTCAGTGGCGGCGGCTTCGTGGATGTGGCTTATGGAGGGTGCAAACGCAGGAGGACAGGGAGAAGGGGTGAAGGGGGAAGTTAGACATGCTCGGCTGGGTCTCTTAAAGCTGCACGGTCGCCCCCGGAGGGAAGGAGAGCCCGCCGGTGAATAAGAGGTGTAAGTTGTGAATGGCAAACACAAAAAACACCTGTGTAGAGCCGAGGACGGGTGCTTTGTGAATGTCAATGCTCCAGGCAACATATCGCAGGCGTTTGAACTACAAAGTGAGTTTCAGAGATGCTCACTGATACAACCATGTTGGCAAAATGCAATTTTTCTAACAATCATTAAGATTCGATTTTCAATGTAATTTGTATAAAAACAAATATTAAGACAGGACTCAAATCTTGATAGAATTGATCAATCAATTTTCCCCCCAGTTTATCTGGGTCTGGGCCAGATCCAGCTCTGGAGAAAGAGATAGTGGAACAAATCCTTAGGGAGCTGTCCTGAAGGCATCCAGAACAGATGCCCAAGCCACCTACGATGGTTCCTCTCGACGTGGAGGAACAGCAGCAATACTCCAAGCTCCTACTGAGCGCCAAGCTAGCACCCCGCCTCTCTGTGGAGGAAACTCATTTCAACTGCCAGTATCATTACCCAAATCTCATGACAACCGGTGAGGAGGGGAACGTAGATTCACAGTACATCAAGAGCTTTGTCTTTTGACTCAAATGGTTTGTGTCATTAGCTCTATATGCAGCACATACAAACGTATTTATTAAATGTAGTCTCTCCACTCTCTTCACACTTTATAAACAACCAAAGTGGCTTTTTTGCTCTTCCATCTTATAAACAAAGAAGAAACCTACTCCCTTATGACAAAAAGATGAATGGGTGATGGATGAGTGGTAATCTAATCTAGCATAATGGCACAGCATATAGTAATTAATTAAGAAAGCATCACTCCCTTGTCAACAGAGAGGAGAATGAATGACCATAACCAACAAACTGTGTGGCTAAGCAAAAGCAGTAAAACAAAACATCGATCATGTCTCTTTCATATAAGTAAGTAAAGAAGGGGACTCAAGGGGACTTTTGAAGAAAAGAAAAAAAAAAAAGGCCAAGTGGAAAGATTGGCAGCATTTAATCACCCGATAGGAATTAATTACCTTCGGAAGATAATATAATCAGCAAGATCTGTCTGTGTTAGTTTGCTAAAGAACACAACAAGTTGCGGAAACATTTTTCAATTTTCTTCAATACAATAATCTTGGAAGAAATGATTACATTTGGAAGTGTCCAGAACACCTGGATTTTTTTCTAGATTGATCTAGTGTTTCTCTAGTTGATTGTAATTATTACAAAAAATACAAAATACACAGATTGAACCATTGCTGACTCAAGTTTGGAACAATCAACGATAAATTCATTCATAATTCAGCTAACTTCAGTCATCTGAGACGGAATATCTCAATTACAAGCTGCAAACAGTAATGATAAGCAACTGAATTCATCTGCGTGCTACACTGTTATTGTGCCTTAGATAGAAAGATTTTTTTATACAAGCGTGAACAAAGGCTGGGAATGAGCTCCAATAATTAGGGTCACCTCAGTTCATGCTTTGATTCTGATATTGTTAAAAAATAAATTGTATGGGAATGTTTTAATCATCAGTCGTCCAAGCGTATTAGCAGCCTGAAGGGATAAAGGGTTTATATCAAGACAGAGAATCAGGTATATTGATGCAGAGGCTTTTGCTTTGACTTCTATTTAACTTTAGACAAATACAACAAATACAACAAAACAAAACGCTCTTAGGTACTTGAACAAATTAATCTCGTAATACAGGCAATGAAAGAGTAGAGTAACCACTTCAGAGGCCAAGTGGCAAGCGCCAAACAACACTGTGATCCAATCCACCATATTTATATAGCACGTTTCTAAAAAAAGGTTTGCAAAGTGCCAAACTGTGTCCATCATTCAAGCAAAGTCTGCCAGCTACAAATATAAAACTATAAAAAGATGAAATATAAATTTAATAACAACAAATAAAATCCTGGGACCAAACAACTTACGAAGTGATTAAAGCCAGAGATAAAAAGGTGGGTGTTTTAACAGTCCTGGTGGAAGGTCCGCTTTTTGGGTTCATCCAAATGTTTTGCCTGGAATTGTCGAAAGTATGGCACAGGATATGGGTTTACTCTGTAACAAGTTAAGGCTGAGCACTCCATGGCTCGGGCACAGCCACAGAGAAGTTATCTGCCTGAGTTTGAAATCCAGTCTTAGGCACCGCAGACATCAGGGGGTGTATTTTGGAAGAGGTCTGAGATGTATTATGGGGCTAGTCTTTTCAAAGCGTTTAAAAAATACAAATGAAATCCATTCAAAAAAGAACAAGAAGCAGAAGATGCGTTTGTACTTTTTGGTTCCTGTTACAGTAGTTTAAAGGACTTTACATTGTTCCTCATCAGTCTCTGACCTGGAGTTTTATTTTGATCCATCGCAATAATCAGGAACTTCTCACACAAAACATATAACTCCGCCCCTTCTGTCTAAAAGCTCCCGTCTCAGTCCTGTAATAATATGATGTCATTGTACCCCTATGACATCACACTCTAAATCACACTAAAACCATAATATTGCCCATGAATTAGTTTTAGTACATCTTCAAGTGAAATTGTGAGGGGGATGGGGAAAAATAAGCATAGTGTAAAGATATGTGACATTGTGGTCTGCAGGTTTGACATAACATAAATAAATGTAAATCTTTGCATCCTTCTTTGCACCTAACTATGGTGGTAGCTTAGAGAGTATATTTTACCCTTCATACTTCTCTCACCATATCTTTTCTATACATTTTATACTCTAGACATCATTTCACATTCTAAAAATCATCCAGAAAAAAAAAAAAAAAATGCATGAAATCTATAATTAGTAAAAAGGAAAAAGCATGGTCCATATGGCATTTTTCATGTTGCCAAAGTCACAACAGAGTACAAGTCTACGTGACCTGACAGCTACTTGCGCGTCTAAGGAGGAGGTAAAGTCAGTTCATTGGCCGCTCACCTGGCACGTCGTTCTTCTTCTCTTGGTAGACGGTGCATGTAAAGGCATAACGCAGGGCAATAGCGGCAAAGAACATTTCGATGCAGATGATAAAGTTCTGCCAGCCCGCGGCCACTGTCCCCGCTCCCACCTCCTGCCCGTCGATGAAGAGGGCATTCGGGATGACGCTGCAGCGCTCCAGGATGGCCAGCACCATGCCTGCAATCACATGACCAATTGTTAAAGAGGACATTTTATTATACCCTTCCCATCGATACAAAGTCTGCTTTTAAAGTGATCCATGCATGTTTGAGTCAATTCCTGTATCTCTCAGCTAAAGTTGAGAACAGTTTTTTATGCCTAAAAATGTACTTGCCTTGCCAGAAGGAGAGGAAAATGACCGATTTGATGGTGAGAAACTTGAGGACTGGTTCGTACGGCCGCAGCAGGTCGCTCGTGGCAAAGAAAAAGAGAAACAGCGCATAGAGGGACAGGCTGACGGAGAAGTTGTAGATTATTGTGATGTACAGGTATCCGCCGTTAACGCTGCAACAGAGGACACACACACAGATCAGGACACACATTTTGTGACAACTTGCAAAGGTAAAAACCCAGACTAGAGATGTAGCAATATCTCTCCACAAATGAAATTACATTCTCAATAAATTGCAAGTTCTATTTTGTTTAAATGCTATGTTTTGGGAGTGGAAAAATAAACAAGTGGGGGTCCCGGGGCCTCAGCACCACTGCAGGGGGCTTCCAGATGCTGTCCACATGATTTCATTCATATTCATGATCAGATTGAACAATGCATAATGTTGATTCTGCACTTTGTTTTCTTGTGTTTTTAAGTGATTTTCAGATTTGCACCGTTTCTGTACATCTTTGGTGCACACTGGGAACCTTTGCACAGGCATTCCCATGTGTTTTTTAGTTACAAATAGAAATTCAATAAATAATCTTTATGTAACGCAATGTACAGTTACAATGGAATGGCATAGTTACATTCAACAACTGTATTGTGCAAGTCCATCCAGGCATCAAATCCTATATAATCAATTGAGATTTACATAAAACGTACACCACATATCATTAGAATTAATATATGGATACTGATTTTTTACGCTTATATTGATGTAAATTAAAAAAGAAAGGCTCATGTCTCCTAATGGCGCCCATGAAACACCTGACATAAGAATATGGACTTAACATGAAGAAATGACTGAAAACAACATTTCAGCACTAATCCATTGCCAAGTACATGTACAGCATCAAAAGTTCAGTTTGAAATAGCAGCTCCTATAGACACGAGTGAATATGTTGGGTACCAGGTTGCATATTAGGCAAGCAGCCAAATAATGTGTGTACTTGAGATGTAAGAGTTGCAGCATTTGGAACGCATAACCATTAATTACATTTTGTGCTTTGCTAAATATACGCTAGCACTTATAGGAACAGGTGGTTGATAAAGTTTTGCTTTTACTCTGTTGCACGTACGCATTAGCTTCTTTGTCTTCATCTAAAGCTCGTCTCTAAGGAATGCTCGTGCTAATTACTCCCCTAAAGCCTTTGAGAGCAGGGGAAGAGAAAAAAACAAAAACAAAAAGCAATTGTACGTCATTGCTGGCGAATATAAAAAAAGAGTGCATCCATTTTTGCTAACATTGTTACTTGAAGCGGCTGAAGTGGGTGAAGTGGGTGAAGTGATTAGCTCGTCAAACTTCTCCGAGTTCAGGCACGTGTCCCCATTGTTACTTTTTACAAAAAGGCACGGAAGGGAGAAAAAAACATGTATATTTTACAGCTTTGGAGGGCACACTAAATACAATGACACAATTATCCTCCTCAGCGGCTGCAACTCCTAGTGGGCCTGCGTTAGATGAAGTAAAAATCACATTTGGTTGTCTGCCGTCTTAATATAGCTGCATATTCAAAACTAATAAACTCAAATGAAACAACACTTCACGGGCTGCGAACGGAGTGTCTTCATTTCAAATTAGGACTCGTGGGTTTCGCCTGCGTTTCGCCGTCTAATCATGAAGTTTACCATTTATAAAAAGTGCAGAAATTCAATTGAGAGTTTTCCCCATGAGAGAAGTGTGAAACGTGATTAGAGCGGAGTGCGTGAGCGTCTCTGCACAAACTTTGGTCGTTACAACTTAAGTTATGGCAGGAGTGGGAAAAAAAAGAAGAGGCTTTTCATTACGACCACACGCGGAGGTGCAACTACAGGTGAAACTCCGAAATTTACAAGCCCATTTACTCAATTCGCTTTATTTACAAAACATTCAACAAGTCATACACGTTGCCAATACCTTTGATTTGTAAGTGCTTGGTAAAAGGGAGCTCACAGGAAGCTGCATTAGCTTATAGTCCGGGCCTCAAAACACTACATGTAAAAGTACTTTGAAATGAGTTTGGGGTCCTAGGTCAACATTATAATTTGAATTACAAAAGAGAAATATATGAAACCTTTATTTGTTATAATGTTGATTATTGGTTTACAGCTGTAAAAACCCAAAATAAAACATCTCAGGAAAATAATATCAAAATTATTATCAAAATTAGAATAAACAAAAGGCACTTAGCATATGTCACTATAACATATGTTGGTTTCACATTGTATTACAGAAATGAATGAACTTTAGAACGATATCCTTTCTGGGTTTCACCTGTGTTGTAGCCTCAGTTGTCCTGGGGCAGACTGACTAAAGCGAGGCATGTAGTTTGCGCTTTTGGCTCCTCCACACACACACACACACACACATTACCACCCCACACCGACGAGCATTCACAAGCACATATGGACACAATTACATGTAAACAGCCTGGTGATTTGTTTCCCCCTTTTCGAGACCAATTAAAACCAGTAAATCAAAAGCTAATGATAACCCCGAGGATTCATCATTTGATTTGAGATCTTCTGTATGTCCTGAAGCCATCTGTACCCCCAATATTAGTTTCAAAACAAATGGAACAATAATTGCAATCACATATTAAAGCATAATGAATTCCAGAGCTTGTATCAAACGATCCTATTAGGATTGTGAAAATTGACAATAATAAACAGGAAAGCACCTGCACTCATCTAAACACGGGTTTCTTTCTGCTTGAGCGTTTTGGACTCTTTCAGTGCACCTGCGTTCTGTGTGGAAGTGATATCATTATCTCTGTACGCACGTTGTTTGCCTGTGTGCATAAATAAAGTGCTGCCGGCAATGCTCTGAATGCTCGAGATACGCAGAGAGGAGAGGGAAGACGCTCACTTGAAATCTCCGTCGTGGTATTTGCCAAAGGCCTGAAGGACGATGGTGATCACAGCCATGATGGGTTTGACCACGCAGAACTGAAGGGTGGCCTGGGAGGAAAAAAAACACAAAAAACAAAAACTTAAACAGCCCACAAAAACCTGTTCCACCGTCAAAAACATAATAATCCGTCTGTTTCATAGGGATTGAACTCACATTTTTTAGAATGTAGGCCTTGAAATACTCTATAATGTATTATCATGTAGAATAATGACATGTAAAGCGTCTTTGAGTGTCCAAAGCGCTATATAAAAACCGATGCATTATAATGTGAGGACGCTATTACATAAAGTCCTACTGCCTTTTAGCATTTTGCTTTATTAATTTGCATCACAGTTGCACCCATTTGAAGAAGTATAGATAAATGCATATTATTTAGTATAAGTAGCATAAGTATTATTTTACAGCGGATTATTTTCTTTTTGATTGCTTCACTTGCACTGTACTGTGCATTTTGTACTGTGTGTTGCATCACTGAAATGTTCCCACTGTGGCAAGAATAAAGGATCTCTTATCTTGGTGTGACATAGAAAAACCCTAGAACAACATTCAAAGTATTTTATTGTGTTAAAAATGGCGGCTTGATTAGCATTGTAGTAATGGTGTCTCTCTAATCTATCAAGTGTCGGTTTATTTCTTCAAATTGAAATCATGTTTGAAATGTTGATAGCATCGTGACAGCACAGGTTCACAGACAGACGACGTTTCCCCCTGAGCTCTTAGGGGTGTCTGGGTCAACGTGGATCAGACAGAGAGGTGACACCAATAACCATTTTCTTAAGGATTTGCTTTGAAAACGGCAATGGCAACACAAGGTGAATGTTCTAGTGCCAACCTGACATTCTCTTCACACTTAAAGCTCATAATCTGTGTCTGAGTGCTCGTGCGATGTGCTCTGTATTTAAAAATACAGAAAAAATAAATATAGGTTGCAGAAAAATCATTTTTGAAACATGCTTTTGAAAACCTGCTTCTGCATAAAGGCTTGACATAGATGCATATGATTAAGCGGCGTGATAGTGGAAAGAAGTAGGTTTTGCCTCTGAAGTAAACATGGGTTGAAAACATAGCATATAATAGACTTATATCTAATTCATGTTTATGTCTATTCAATACATGTAAAATCAATAATTAAACCACCATTTTCTAGTCTCACTTTGACATTAGTGGCCAGAACTTTTCTCCTTCCAGAGTTTTGGCTGTTAACTTTTCCCAATTGTTTTTCTAACACAATAAACTCAGTGAAATGAAAAGGCGGCATAAGTTTGTTCATCTTCTCCCTAGCTGCCCTCACAAGAGCTGCTCGCCTTGAGCTTGGCCCAGACAACCAGACTTTAAATGCTTAACAAAATGTGTTTGTGATACTCTGATTTTGTAATGCACAAAATATCTAAAAAACTTAAGGTTAGCGGATAAGCATTTGAAGCCTTCTTATCTCCATGAACCACAGTAACTCAAGGCTGTAGCTCTGATCAGTGATTCACTTAACCTCGGCTGAGATACAACGTTAATAAGGCCTTTGGATACTCCGCTCTGCCTTTTTGGTGTATGACTAAACTTGCATAGGATTTAAAACTAGAATTTCTCTTGTAGAGCCTTTTAACCGTATACTGTTATAAAAGTGCCAGTTTAGCAGGAATAAACTGGATTTGTTCAGCCAAAGAAACTTGTGACAAAACCCTCTAATCAAGGTTGTTGTACGTATATTGTTAATTTGTATTATGGGGCGGAATGTAATTATATCTTTTGTGTGATGGCTAGTGGAGAGGAAATTAACATGGGTACCAAACTGATATTGCATCCTTTTACTTATGCACACACACACAGTTCCAATCCAATAAATGCTGTACTTTTGTGCTCATTTTGATTTGTAGACCATGATTACAACGTTTAAATAAAGGCTACATTTAGTCGTATTTAGCTACAAACCTTACATCGTCCTCATGTTAAGACAAATCCAATGTACCTTTCTCACTAGCCCGATGGAATGAGAGTGATTTGATAACTTACTCATGAGTGCTCACCTCATGAATTCTTTCAAATACTAAAATCTTCATGGTTCAACTTTCTCCCCCTTCCAAAAGTAGGTGCTTGAGAATTCCCAGCACCAGCCGTGTTTATCAGCCTCTGCTCATGAAAAAGCTCATTCACTCCACAGTGCATTTTGTTTTGAAGACATAACTCTCAGTTTCAATCTGCATCAGTTATGGAGCTTCCCCAGACAATGAACGGAAACACTGCGGCGACAGCTCGCACCATCACTCGCATTTGTTATCAATGCTTTCACCTGGCCTATTTCTCCCAGTGTTTTCCCCTTTACGGCTGCATGTGTTCATTGGAGAAAAAAGCCCACAAAAAACAATCAGCTAAAGCAAAAGCCAGTGTGTGTTGTGTGTATATGAGAGTGTCTCTTGCCCAAGAGAAAAACAAATCACTGTAATTTAGACAATATTTTGAGAACATTGAATTGTCAATCACTATGGTGACAATACTAATGTATCTTTTCTGAATAGGTGGGATTTTATAAAACGTTTCAGGACTTAACAGAGTTTGAAGATATTTCTAATTGTGTGTGGAGAATGATAAACTAGGGACCAAACTCGTGTGTTTAGAAAAGATGTGCTAAAAGCATGTTCTTTGGTAACCGTTGATGCTTACTATAACGTTGCTGAAAACATGAAACTCACCTGTTTGCAGAATCGTAAAAAGCCAATGGAATAACTCGTTCCAGTAAGGCAGCATGTGCCATAAAGGCAGCTGGACCTGTGGAGACAAAGTCACAAAGAATTGAAACCATGTGCAACAAAGGGGTTTGTCATGAAGATATGTTAAATGAGATCTCTGGACAGGATTTAAATAAAATTGTTCAATAAAAAATAATTATCAATTAAATTGATCAGGGAGTAAATATGCAAAATCAAATACTTGATGATCTCTTTTAACCTATGGTTCACAGATGATACAGTGCTACGCAGCGGCAGGTGCATTTGGACACACATGACTCAAGGGTGTCTTTATTTAGCCAGGTTGGCGCCATCTAGTGTCTCCACCCAGTTTCTAGGTCAGGTATTGCAGCAAACAGGAGTAAAGGAAGTACAGTCAGCCAATCGGCGAACAAAGGTGAAGCCATGACATCAGTTTGTGGTTCAGCAGTAAACAAAGTGGCTGAGGCAGATGTACAAGCCAGCCAAACAGTCTGTGTTGGCAAAAATCCACAATTTTATCCAGAGACCAGACAGCTGTGATTGGTTACAGCAAAAAAGTTACGCGCCTGCCATAGAGTGAACTATTATGATTATTACGATACAGATAACAAAACATTGTCTTCCTCAATCATAAAAAACCTTAAATTGTGTAAATGTAGGTCAAAGATCCAAATCCATTGTTACTGCTCAAAAAGCCCAGGGAGAAAAACAAGGGCTTTTACATCAAGGAAATGGCTGCCCTCTATATTGATCAACATGTAGACAATTATTAGTGTGTGCAGCATGATATGAAGAAGTATACCCAATACAAATCTGACAACAAAACCATTATTGATCCCACCATTTAAGCAATAGGTTGATCTGATACTGAAATGCTCTGCTGGAAAAACTCTAACACAAACGCTATTTTAGCCTCAAATTACACAAGGATTTAGAGCAACTGTTTGGTGTGGCAGTCACTTAACCCAAGCTCTGTCTCAAACAAACAAACCAAAACAGGGGGGAGGCTGCTGTCCTTAAGGAATAAGACAAAGTTATAGGCATCAACAACCGGAAGAATCCATAAGTGAATCGATTGGGAACAAATGAACTGAATAAAGCAAGAACCTTTAACAAGAAAATATAGCTGTTTATTTAATGGTAGAGAATGATTTGACAGAGCTGCTGAAACCTACTACAGTTAATTATGGTTGGGCCTCTCAGTTTAGGCGATAAGACCATTTACTGGCAGATACTAATCAGCAAATTTTGTTCTAAATGTATGTATGAAAAGTAGATCTAACATAAAATATCGAAAAATAGAAATTAGTTGTGATATGATGGGAAAAATAGATCACAATTGGATATAAAAAAGCTTGATCTGCTGAAGCTTTTTGAAAATTCCATTTCCAAATCTAACCAAAATAATTGACCCAACAAATATAAACTAGAGCCACACAGAATATTTAAAATACAACTGCTACCATCTTCTATATGTCAATCTTATTCTTTAAAAGCAAAAGGTGGAACTACGGTATTAAAAACCATCTAAACCAATTTCCATCATTTAAATTAGTGTTTGTTAGTTACCTGTAATGGGAGGTTTTAATGCATGTCTTACTTGTACATTTTGGCCTCAGTCACAGTTTAATAAGAGATTTCTCACACGGAAAAGAGAAGTACATAACATCTCTTTCAGCTCAAGCCCAAAGCATCATGTCTGAACTTTCCTTGAAGTTTGCAAATGATGTATCCGATTGTACAAAACACGTTGCTTTTACAAGAACATTTTTGATGGGATGAACTAAAATGTTTTCACGACACAACAATGTTATTGTTTTTTTTTTGAATCACAGTTACCTTTGAGATTGAATAACAGACATCTTAGTGAATACCGTGTTTGCATCGACCTTCTCAAAGATTAATATCACTGACTCGCAAATACAGAACTACAGACATCAAAAACACAAGCATATTGGAGACTCATTTGACAAACAAAACAGGATTTACCTGGGAGAGGCTAAGTGCCAGTGACTGTGGTAAGTCGTTTTAAGCCAAACCAAACAATAAGACAGGCTAGCCAAGGAGGACAAAGGAAGCATCCTATATTATTAGTTTATTTGATATGGACATATCAACTGCATTGGACAAACCAGATACATTGTTTCCAGTGTTATAGCAAAACTGCTAATTTGCAACACCTGTCCATAGGAGGCTACACATTTCAAAAAACACAATACAATACAGTACAATATTTAAAAAGGTAAACAATACACAATTACACATCATCAGTATACATTTCATACAGTGTAATTAAAACAAAATAACTGCATATCTTGAGCTGGTAGATATTTTACATAATTCAAAGCTATGAGTATGAATCAAAAACTGGCACTTCACATAAGATTGATCCCCGAGGCATTTTGTAGATAGATCCCTCTGATACTTTTGCTATAGTTGAGTGAGTAAAAGCCACCCTCGAAAAAACACATTACACTTGCTGCTCTGTACTTGACGCCCCAAAGTGAAAAGACTGATCAGTCAAAACGCATTTAGCAGAGAAAGAAAATTGCAGTAAAAGCCGTAAATTTGGAGTAATGGCGTGAGCGTGTGTGGGATTAAATGTGAGCACTTACTGGATGGGCTTCCCTCGAATCTCCGACATGATCGCACTCTCTCCTCCCAGATATTCGAAGGACAGGCTCAGGAAATTGTAAATGACAAATGCTGCAAGATACAAGCATAAATTGCATTCAGCAACACATTCAGTTATGTATAAGCTCATTTACTGTAAATCCACCACAACATAATCGTGCTGCCAGACCATAACATCTTATAATTTGCAGGTGTCCGATTTGTACTTCAGTTTTCTTTGCAGATTCCTGACCTGATAATAATAGAAATGATAGAAATGATAATATGCTATTCATATTGTAGGATGTAACACTGGTCCACGTGCAGTACACCTGAGGGTAGTAATGTACCAAAGAAATTCTTGATCAACCTGTTGAACGATTTGTTGCCTAAAAAAGGGGTGTGGCAAAAGATCCAAATGTCATTACAAACCTGATCAAAACTGTAAAACATGAAACTGAAGAAAAATTTTAGGGTGAGGGGGGGAATATTTAGCAATTAATAAACAAATGGTTGAATGGAGAGTTTGATCTGGCTTGAATATAAAACCAAAAGAAATAAATACAAAAATCCTCTAAGCTGCGTTTCGAAATAAATCTAGTTTTTAGATTTCTCAGAATTCTTGTAACTGAATTAAAATAACCAGTTGACAAATATAAATTGGGTCGATTAGGGACCTATTTACCATGCAATTGACAAAAGGACTAAAGATGGACAGCCCTACATTAACACAGTGTAAATGTGTCTTATCCAATTTGTCTCTTGTGTGAAAACCTTTTACTCAGAAACTCAACAACTCAACTACACACTTGATTAATGTGCATGCCTGTAATCCAGTTTTGCTCACGCCTTTGTTACCAAGAGCATGTTTCACTTTAAGTTGAACTTGAGAAGACTTTTAAAACACAATTGTTATGACTTTGTTTAATAGATCCTGAGAAATGGTGCAAGATAAGGCCTTCTCTTCCACACGCATACATAGCTTTGTCCATTAGCCCAAGCTGATCCCAACTCCCGGATTATCCCCCTTCCCCTTCAAGCATATCTTCATTTAAAAAAGGTCAAATTATGCCTTCAGAGAAAACTCAAACTGATAAAAACAATTAGTTCTACATTTGGAGACAATGACTAATTTGGTCTTTACATTAGGATACATCTGAGGGCTCTGTGACTTGGAAATCCCTGGCTAATCCTTTGTTGCTAAATTAAGGGGGGATTAAAAGGCGCTAATGCAGAAGCAGTCCGGTGCAGAGCAGGTTCATTATGTTTCAACACACTGCAGCGCCATCAATCAACAGAAAAACGCTCAAAGAAAACTGAACTCAATCGTTTGAATAATGCATTTTCAACTTTCCTTCCAATACTCAAATTACTGTTGGAATAAGTTTCACCTTTGCCGGCAGGTTTTTTGATACTATGCAATGCAATAATCAATTAATGACATTGACCAATACATGAATTTCAGAATGATAAAGAATAAGGACTGTTACCATAGAAATGCACTCCCTAAATTATTGTATATTTTGAACGGGGGGAAAATATAGAAAATAAGGCTTAAGTATTACATAAGCACTGTGTCATGATAATTGTGCGGTCTAATTATACAAAAGATAACAAGACATACAATACAGATAATCATAATAAGTAAAAAAAAAACGTTACTAATTACACATTTCAAATTTTGACATGACCACTATTGAGGTCTCTGAAAAACAGAACAATAAGTGATGACAAACTTATTGTCCCAGGTATTACACCCACATAAGGACTGTCGCACAGGCGCTCGGAGGAAATGCCACACCACTGTTTGCAACAAAAGCAGGAGATTGAGTAAGGATGCCTCCAAGGCCAAAATGAAACAGAAAATATGGGGCCGTTTTGTCGTGCTAAAGAAGGAGGCACGGTCATAATGCAAGTTTGATGTGGTAATAGATTTTTCTAGACAAACTCAAAACTGAAACTATGAAAAAAAGGAGGGCATTATTTGTCACCTCCAGTCTTCCTCCCTAAAACAGGGATTGAAATTGAATTTACTAAGTACAATGTACAGTTACGTTAAAAAGATGGCTGCACCAGATTTATCAATGCTACTTTCCATCTGTAGTCCTTGACAATACAATCATAAACTGGTTTGGTGGCAAACTGGTTTCAGAAAGGGCCGGTGTGGCTGCAGGATTTCATTCCCACCAAGCAGGAGCACAGCAGACTCCTCTCATTTCCTAAAACCCCTCATGTCTAAGAACCTTCAAAATAGTAAGTAAGTTTGTTTGTATTTATATACCGCCTTTTCACTGCAGATCTGAGTCTCAAAGCGGTTTACAATTGTCAATTTTTGGGCATTTGTCTCTCACTCCACACAGAGATGGGAGGGGCCAGTACAGGAGGCGCATGCCAGAACTATTGGACATATTTTTAGTGGTAGGGGAAACCGGAGTACCCGGAGGAAACCTACGCAGACACGGGGAGAACATGCAAACTCCACTCAGAAAGGCCCTGGTCCGACCGGGATTCGAACCCAGGACCTTCTTGCTGAGAGGCGAGAGTGCTATCCACTCAGCCACCGTGCCGCCCAGAAAATCAGATCAGAAATCTCAGAAGTCAAAATGGACTCACTCCTACATTTTATCAGCCTGAAAATGTGAGACAGGCTTCTTCTCTGGCTTATCCAGGTTATAAACAGTACTGTTTTGCTGTGCATATAAATCTTCACTCTTTTAATGCTCTGTGTTTTAATTCTATGCCTTGGATGATTGTTTCTACCTTGTTTTGTTAAGCACTTTGAATTGCCTGGTCTAAAAGTAGATCTAATATAAATAAATGAAAACATAAATACAGTATAATTAATCATAACTATGCGCTCAGTAAAACACACACTTCTCTTGAACACTTCTCTGTGTTCTCTTGATATTTTTTCTATTTGCATCCTAATGAAAATCTAATCTTTTGTCCCCGACTGAAAACATTTATTAATATAGAACTATTCTTAATCTGTTAAAGTTCATGTGGGATCAAGAATCACGATGATAAATCATATGCGGCCAATTTAAACACGCAACCGAGGTATATGGACTATGGACTATACTAGTGCATCTATACGATATGAAAATATCTGTTGTATTATATGGTCATACATCTACCAAGCCATAGAAAGAATGTATATAGGGAGCTCCAGGTTTAGTTACACCAAATAACCTATTAAAAGGTTACTATTGTTAAGGGGCCAGGTCTCATTTATCTGCTCTGAAGGAAAGACTGAAGGAAATCTTTATATTGTATTGTATGGACAGTTTCCTATTGTCCTCTGGCACACAGAAACTGACAGAAATTGTCAAAAGGGAGAAAAAGCTTCTCGCTAAAGCAGCAGGCTGAGCACAGTTCTGCATTAACTGGTATAGAGGGTGTTGCAAAGTAATTAATACGCGTTTTACAGACTTAAAAAAAAAAACTTGAGCACACATTAATATTGCTTAAATTGAATAGGTAAATGGCAATGGGATCTGGAAAGGACAAGGCTCAATGCCACAACCTCTCACATGTACTGCCCTTTTGGTCAAATGTAGAGATATTAAAGCCTTGAATTATGGTTGAATCCAAATCCAACTTCTACCTACAACTAGACTACCTAAATAGGCAGAGTCACCCACAGTGATGCGTAGCTTATACTCCACTATAAAACACGCACCTTCGTAACAGTCCCGCACAGAGTCGAAGTAGACGTAGTACTGGTCATTGCTGATGAAGAGGAGGCTGAGCCAGGAGTCGAAGGAGTAGACCGGCACGATGAACAGAATGCGGATTATATAGCGCTGCTCGTTAGGGACGGTGTACGATCGAAGGTGCGTGTAGATCTGCCGGGGAGGAAAAAAAAAAACACAAACACGGTGAGATAAATATTATGACGCAAGCAAGCTTTTCGGTACGGATCCATATTGTCAAAACACATTCCCAAATAGATGCCGCCTTTGTTGATGCGATACAGCAACCAAAGTGTGGGGTGTCGAGTCCAATCAGTCCATCTATAAGGCAGGATTTATGCAAGGCAGTCTGCAGTTGATGTTTATTCATTTATAGCAATAAAAGCAGCAATGATTACCGGACTTGAACTTGTTTTAAAACCACTCTCGGAACTAACCATATATTTTTACAACATGTGCTCTAATGGAGAACGGTGCCATTAACGGTGCTGGCCTTTTTCGTCCCCTATTTAATCAGTTAGCTTATGGTGTGCAAGTAGAAGTTTTATCTTGTATTCAATTTGTTTCCCCCAGACATAATATAAATCTTGCTTCTACTGAAAAATACTGATTTAATATTACAGTAATTTCAAAAACATTGGACATGATGGTAAAACTGTTACTGCCGTTTTGGTTCGGCGGCTGCATCTATAATTTCTCAGTGCTTCAAGGCGGTGTTTCCCAACCAGGGGAAACGTGTGAGTATTATTAACTTGCAGGCATTCATAGCAAAAGGTTAATACGGACTGCCATGGCATGTTATACATAATTTTAAAGTTTATCTTAATAAACAATCGTATAATTCACTTATTCTATAAGTTTAAACTCAGAAAGCAGTTAATAGTTGGCGTATCAGTCTGCAATACCAGTCTTATTTCTTTCTAAAAAAATATTACCTACTGGGCTTTTAAGTAAAACATTAACCTCTGGCAAGATGCCTTACCACACAGGAAACATCAACCAAGCATAAATCAGGCTCTTGACAATACTGTGTTATCGTTTACCACCAAGCTTAATATGAAATCTCTTGTATTGGCAGGATCTTTTTATTTTTGGATTGGATTGTGCGTTTCCTCTCGAGAGCAGAGAATATTTTGGTCCTCAGTTTGGCCAGTGATCCTGTTGCCACATGCAGCTTGATTAAATGCTCATTAGACAGTCACATTGAAGGGTGATTACTGGGGTGTGATGCTTTCGGACGCTCACTTGACAAGAGAAGTGGAGAAGACTGTGACAGACTACTTCCGTTTGAGTCCAATACAATTGTGAGTTTATTCAGACCGCAAAATGGCACAAACCAGAAAGTTAATATTGGCAACGGCAAAAATGCATGACATATTTCACCGTTAGAGCAAAATGGCAGCACAATTATGTTTGACAGGTGAGGTGGATAATATAAAGCCTAGTATTAAGTGGTTCACTATCGCACAAATTAAGCCGTTCAAAAGTTGGCCACAGGAATTACTGGCTCACAAATAGGGAGCCACACACTGCAAGCAAACCAAGGTGAAGAGCTGGCGTTCATATTAGTAAAGTGGATTCAAATCCAAAACAATACACAATAACTAAGGTAGTCCCAGGTTTGGTCAAGTCAAATTGAAGGCATTTTTAATGTTGTCATCACAGATTGCATTACTGGTAATAAATATACTTTGTTGTCTTGTTAATGGAGGGGTAGACAATCTGCGATTCTGGACTCGTTTGTTGTATTTTATGCTTGCAACAGGTTTTTACGAGCCTAAAACGTAGATATGCTGAACCCGAGTACCCATTGACAGATGTGAGGTCCGGCTAAGTCAGGACTACCAGAGCTAGATGATATTATCTATTGCCCATGTTTTTAGTGGCAGGGGAAACCTTCACAGGGAGATACAGGGAGAAAATGCGAACTCCACTTAGAAACGCCCTGTTTGACCTGGATTTGAACCAAGAACCATCTTGCTGATCTAGAAACACAGTTGGGAATCTAACACAATTTGACAGACTTTTTTTTTATAAATCCACATAACTTCAGAGCATAGGTGATGTGGTTAACAACATTTAATGCAATCATATTTCAATTTGAATGACCTTTGTCAAGTCAGTGCCTTCATTTGGCAACAGCAAGTTTATTCAATGACTTAGAGGGCGACCCCGTTTAACATAAAACAAGTTTATGTGTCGAGAGGGTCATTCTGAATTTTTAAAAACATGTCAAGTCTAACTAGTTTGAATCAAAAGCTATAAAATGTGACAATCTATATGAAAAGCCCGCATGGGAAATAGCCACTTCAACCAACTTTTAAACACTACTTGGGAGGTTACAAAACACGGCTGTAAAATATTGCAAAAGACAAGTTTTATGGTTTTATCGAGCCGCATCGGGACTTGCACTTGGGAGACAAAATGAGACACACTTCACTGATTACCAGCCTGAAAAGTATTGGCAACCGCAGCAGAGAGGATCTAAGGTCGTTGTCTATCTGTGCTTAGTATTCAGATAGAGGGTTGTAGAGTCTAGCAATCCTCAGGAGCCAAATGCAACGAAACAACTGCAGCATCGCAACGTTCGGACCATTCTCTCCACTCCGCTTGTCAACACTCCAGCCCATTCCCCTGTTTATTTCGTTCAATTAAAATGCCTTGGGTTTGACAAAAGATAAAATCGGGCCATAAATGTCGAAACTGGAGATTACCTTTTCCAATCTAGCATTGTGCTTGTTTTAAAATGTTGCAATCAAAGCAGACACACCTGCGCGCATTGCTGGTGATGACCACATGCAGAGAAACACTATTGAATCGAGGAAATTAATGACGACTCAATAGAAAATCAGAGCCATAAAGCACTTCCCCTGAAACACGAGAAAGGCTCGGAATAAAAGGAGAATGAATGTGATCTTAATACCAACTGATTTCCCTGCTGATAATACACTGCACCCAACTGTAATGTCAGCAAATGATAAAGCCATAACGATAAAGCCATTATCTGCGCACAGTGGGTAAGTTTCCCACACTCGAGAAAACAGACATTTACAGCCGCCTAGCAACGGTGCAAAGATATAAAGAGGGCTACGCATATTATTTGGGCATTATGTTTCAACATAAAAACTTTCAACGTAAACAAAAACAATAACTGTTAATCGTGTCTTGTTTATAGAATTATAAAAACAGTTGGTCGATTCTCGTTCAGTGAAATAGTCTTGATTATGAAAATCTGAGAAAGACATGTTGTTATCTATTTCATAGCAAAGACATTTATTCGTCATATAGTATATTGACAGTTATTGCACATACTGTATTTTGCAACAGAGAAGGCCAATATTTAACTTATTTATTTTATAAACGTACCAAAAATAATATGCAAACCTATATTCAATAAAAAGTGGTTTGTTCAAAATACCTGAACAATGTGAAATGTAGGTGTAAGATAATATCAACCACAGATTCAAATCATGAACGAAAAAACAACCTTTCCAAAAAAACAAAAAAAGTACCATGATATCTTGGCGTTTAAATATACCTTTTCTTACCAGGATTCAAACTATTATGCAATATTGAAAAAAAATCCGGCAACAGCCAGTCAAATTAAAAAAGATAAATCTGTTTGTTCCCCAGTTTGATGCCATATGCCTTCAAAGGATCAATGGACATCACAAATAAAACAGAATATTTATGACAGAAGAACTGGGAAAATTGGTCACAATAAATTTATATGGTCATGATTCATCCAGGCTTGACATCATTTAGAGTTTCCTTTGTTATGCATTTTTATTCATGTGTTCTCTTAAAACGACAAAAAATAAATAAGTTGGCCACAGAGAAACCATTTAGGTTTTTATAGGTCTTACACAAGTCTTTTGGAATTGCAGATTAGTTCCCCTTATAACAATTCACTTATATTGACTTGGTGTGACAGATGCCACTAAATGGATAAGTTCAAGACAAGGGACAATTACAACAAATGTTACAGTCGTAATAATTGTAATCAGCAGAATTAAATAAATGCTTGGATTCGCAGAGTGCACTCCCCTGCGGTGCGGTGATTTGCATTTTGATTTGAAAAAAAGTGTTATACTAAATTATGCATTGCGTTAAAATTGCACCCTGTTGAAAAGCTTCGATTAGTTTTGGGAATGAAAATGTTTGATATTATTCTCATTTATTGGAAGGCATCTGAATAGCATGGCCTCCTTCACAGGGACTGAACAAAGACCTGAGGCAATAGGGCACTAAATAAACCTGTTTAAAGAGGGCCATGCCTGTGTGGTCATCGAGTTACCGAAACCCAAAACGGCCTGTAACATTAACATATGTTTAAATACCCCTTTGAAATAATCCTTTGTAAACCCAAGATTTAGTTTTCATCCCCTGGCTAGGGAGGAGCAATGTTCCTGTCTCCAAGTATCTCTGATTACACTTGGCTATTATGACTGAAGCCATACACGCTGATTTTAGGTTATTACTTTCCTGTTCAAAAATCCAGTTTAATTTACTATTCATAAAAAAAGGGTGCAAAAAATAGATAAGAACGGGTAAGGTGATGAAAATGTTGGGGATGCCACATTGGGGTGTTTCTGTGGAAATATTTAGCCGCACTATACCCAAACATCATCTTCATCCGTTGCTGCTGTGACTTTATACTGTATGGGCCAGCTCTGTCATCTGGATTTTATATTTATTTAACCAGGAAAATCCCATTAGGCTTAAAAACCTCTATTCAAGGGAGTCAAGGCAAAGAGGCAGCAGAAAATATCAACCTTAAAACATACATGATGATACGTGAAGGAAGCATATCAAGTGAAACAGTGACAGTTCTACCTGCACTCTGCTGATTTTCTATTATGTTTTTGGAACTTTAAAGCACTTTTGTTGAGCAAAAGCAATACACCTGTCTGAGTGGTGATGCACTTTTTGTAAAGTGGTCCAAATTGACACCTGCTTTTTGTGATAGATCTATTTTTGTTTTGCCTAAAATGCTGCTCTGTTTGAGAAGACTCACATCTCCACAAATACAACGTGTAACTTAACTGAGTAGAATCACATGCTTATTTGCAAAGTAAAAAGGAAAGTTGAATGAAAAACTGTAGACATTTTCAGTTTAAAAACAAAACCGCATTAGAAACCAAGCAAACAAGTTCCCATGACAAGTTAAGGAATTTACCTCTAGGCATTTAAAGATTAAAAACACAGATGACCGAGCTGGCCCATGTACTTTCAGTCTGGGAGAGAGAAATGTATTATTGCTTGTAAATACTACTCTAATATAAATAGGTATGTAAATAGTTATAGTGTTTACATGTTATTTCCTCCCATTACACCACCTTGCTTGTATTGAAAATAAAAGTAATATATTTTTGTTGTTCATGTGATCACCTTATGTTGCAACAGATTGCCAGATAAGCAAACTCACCTGGTGGCACGTTATGAGCAGAGCAGCGCAGACGAACAGTCCGGAGAGCGCCTGGGCAGCCACTGTGTTCAGGAACATCTGGTCCTGTGCGATGAGGGTCCCATTTGCCGTTTGGATAATGGTCATATTGGACCTGCCCGAGATGTCTGGTATAATCGGTGTAACCAGGTGAACAACTGTATTATTTCCGTCTGAAAGGTCCCCAGCTTCAATAGAACCATTCATCTATATGAGAGAGAGAGAAGGCATCAGACATCAATGTTGCACAGGCCATTACAGGGCAGAGGTTATAATGACTATTAGGACGCATTGCTGGATGGGTACAAAAGAAAAAGATGGAAGGACATACTCAGAAATGATGTCTTCCCTGCATGGCCTACAAAAGGGGACCAAATAACAAGACACTGTATCTCACCTTAGTAGTAGTAGAAAAGGAGAGATAGGAGGAGGGAGGAGGGAGGAATCGGCTTTATCCAGTTAACGAGGAAGTCTGCGCAAACAGCCCGCGTATAAGCCAACTTTAGAGGATCAACATCCAGAACTAAAACATTCAAAGCCATATACACACGACGGCGTCTCCATCTTTGAGCGCAGCACACTTCCTTGTTTGGTATCTGTCGTCGAGAGAGCGAAGTCCACAACAGCAGCAGCAGCAGCAGTAGCAGTAGCAGTAGCAGAAGCAGCAGGCGTAATCAATATAAAAGTAATTAAAAACACGAATAACTATTGTAATACTTCAAGATTAATTCAAAATCAATACGCATCCAATTTCAGCAGGGTAGAGTAAAGAGGGAAGATTTGTCAATATCCTCGAGCAGTTTGAGTTTGAGTCGCTCACCCAAACAGGTTGAACACAGGTGGATGGGTCACGTGACACACCGGGACTGTCGTCATCGTGTTGGATTCAGGGTCCATCGAAAACGTACAAAAAGGAGATGCAAAAGTAGTAAATAAATAAATAAAATGTATAGTAAACACAATCAAAAATGATTAAAAAGTGTTTCAAATGTGTTATTATGCACTTCTGAGACTACTAGAACTCCCAGAGCCATTATTTTGACGGCTCACACTCCCCCCAAAAATGTTTAGTTTTGCAGTTTTAGTTGAAAATATATATTCTGTGTATATAACTTGAAATATCACTTCAGTTGTTAGACATTTCTTGTGTTTTATGTGTTTTTATATTTTTATGCCCTGTGCTGCTCAACGAATTGCCCCTGGTGGGATAGATAAAGTAGTCTGAATCTGAATCTGGTGCTGCAAGTAAAGGTGTGTTGCTATGGTAACAAGAACTTTTAACTAACACTTGCTCTTCTCTGGTGAAGTAGTAGACACTCACATTTCAAAAATAAAATATAATTTAATACAAATAATGACATGGAAATAAACTGCATATGGACACAGACAAAGTAACAAAATTAGGAAGATCAGAAAGCTACATTCACTGAGTAATTCCACTTCCAACAAGAAAGGCCGAAAAAATGACAGCGCTGGAAGTTCTACTGTTACATTCAGTAAAGAAAGAGTAATTGCTGTTGCATCGATTCTCTACATTTATGACTGCACATGTCATCTCAACAGGAAAAAAAATAACATGCTACACCTCATTCCATTAAAACCTTTCAAAAACTATACTGATTGTTCCAAACATCTGCAAAGTCACCAAATAATCATACAGCCGGGGGAATCTAACTTTATTTTTTCAGACTTCAGACATCTTATTAGATGCATTGTGCCTTTTGCATAATTAGGAGCCCTGTGCGTCACTATTTGACGCTTTGGCCTGAGCGCTTGCTAACATAATCCAACAGTATTTTTCATTTTATCATCAGCAAAACTCACGCAAAATCTCAGATTATCATTCAGAGAATTCAATAAAGACAATGACACAATTATTCTTAAACATACAAAAATAAATCACATTTACTTCACCATTCAGCTTATTTTTTGCGTGTGTAGGATGGAGCGTTGCAGGAATTCAAAGTTAGTCCCAGGCTATATAAATATAAAGTAATTGCATCACACCATTTATAAGACAGATGGGGCATTGGCCAGATATAAGGCCAAACCACAGCTTAAAATAGACGGTTAAACGCTCCGACCTTTTGATGCAGCATTTCTGTGCAGTAGTCTCAGGAGCTGCAGTCTATCACAGCCCCTGAATGTTAACAGCGAGATTATAAACATCTTACTCAATTTTTCAATTTGATGGGGCTATTCAAGAGTTTAAATGTTTATTCTATTCATTTACACAGTCTATTGAGAGTTAAGCCCCATTTATTTGTCTCTGGAAAATGGGCATTTGAATGCAAAATAAGTGGCAAAGGTGACCGGCTCGATTCAAGACTATTTCATTAGTGTGATGGAAGAATAACTTTGCAAAATGTAATTATGGAAAATAGTTGAAAGGAAATCAGGGCATCGCATGAGTTTAAAGTCTAGCATTAGCACAGAAATGATAAGTTTGTGTTAGTATTGAAATAGGCGACCACATACTCACATACTGTATTCAGCAATTTGAAGTATGTTTTATTAAAATCATATATACAAGAATAAGAATCCACAACCCTTAGCAAGTATCACTCTTTTTTATTATACAAAAATGAGGCATCAGAAAAAATATTTAAGAACACTTGCAACTTTGTACAAAAACTACATGTTTAATGTTTCACCAAACTTGACAGGATTTAATCATCTCTTTAAAGTGTTGTATTGAGTCTTTGGAGGAATCCTTGAGAGCCAGTCCCAAAAGTACTGGTCGATTAGCAGCTCCTTGGGAGACGAATGTTGACAGGTTTTTGGCACAGACATGAGTCATTGGCTGAAAATGAGAAAGACAGAAGACATGTCATTTGCTGGATTTAATTAATGCTACAAAAAACTAAATCCTAACCATGGATTTATTAAAAGTTCTTGTGAAACAGTTAACATGGTCATGCTATAGAAATTAAAACCGACTCCCATTGCTTTGGTTGTGCAATTCATTGAAATGATAATAGGCCATCCAGCATAAGCCAAACAAGGTATGTTTTACAGACCAAAGTGCATTAAAATGTGGGGTGACTTTCATTCACTCCATACACAGTGATGACAAACAAAACAAACCATTGTATCATCAATCAATACTGATAATATTTCAAACTCAATTTTAACTTGAAAGCAAGTTTTTCAGTCAAAGTCAATGTCAATACCACAATAACCAATACTTGTCTGTAATACTTCCGGATCAGGATAATTCAACAATATGTTTTCATGCAAATATATATATATATATATATATATATTGAAATAAACATAATCAATGACTCTTACCTCATCTTTGCCGAGGAGTACTTTTGTGGAGAAGGTTGGGGTATTGATGTCATTGCACTTGGAGTCTGGTGATACTGAAACTAATGTTCCTATTTTTCCATACTGTGTAACCACTACAAAAATATAATCACTAAACTCTGAACAGACAACTTGTGTGCAAATGCCATTGACTTCTTTCTGCGTCTGCTTCGATTTGATGATGGACTCTGCTGCTGACATGGTTCACCACCACTGCAGAAAAAATAGATGTAAACAAATTATTAGCAAATTGATACAATACAGTAGAATAGTTCATTAGTAAATTAGTTTGGGTCCTTTCCCTCATTAAAGGACTTTTTTATTAATCAGAGTGCCTCGGATTCTATATACAGTCTATGAATTTTAGCCTGTTTTTACTTTTCCACAGAAAGGGTATCTCTTTTTGTTATGCAGTAGAATAGTTGTTCTAGCTTTGGATAGAAAATAAGTAAAGCTCTTTAATGTAATTTACTTGAGATCAGCCAATGTGTTTATTAATCAATCGAATTTGATAATACAAGTACTGAGTTGGTTGGAGGCTATATAGATGCTAATAATGCTAACCTTACAGATAGCAGCAGTAAAAGCCATACACGACACGTCTTTTCACGAATACATGCACCCGTACACATACATAACGCTTACCCTCGCTCTCTGACTGTGTAGATTGAGTAAAACTGCTCTTTGACAGCGCCGTCTAGACTCACGTCTCACCGCTCAACACAACGCGGAAGCAGAGCGTGTGTTTGGATTGGTACTGAGCATGCGCACAGCCGCCACTTTGGTAGGCGCGTGGATCAGTGGATTTGTGAGCTGCATGGGCTGCATGAGGTCATATGCATCTGTGATTGAGGTATGTGTAAGTATGTGCATAGAAGTGATGATGCATGATGCATGCTGATACGTCATTACTTATATTAAATATGTTGAACGTGTTTAAATGTGTAATAGCTTAAATAGAGAGAGAACTTTATCAGAATATTTTCTGAATTTCTCTGCATGAGGTTCTGAATCCAGAAGGATAGTTTTCAAACAGCGACCTAGCTTCAAAACGTGTCCCGACAGTTTTTTGCATGTTTTTCTTGTATTTATGGCTGTAATTGATTTTAGAAGTTATTTATTTCTTCTAAGTTCCAGGGCTCCAAAAAAAGACTAAGGGCTAGCATGCCCAAATACGTTCAATTTGCAAAACTCTAATAGAGTAACCAAAAAAATCTTATGAGAGATTATGTAGTCACTTAGTCTTTACTATTATGGATAAACAGATGATTTTCCTCCAGATTATTAAGAATAACACAACTGGGACATGATCAGTAAATAAATACTGGGACACATTTGTATACATGTATTTTTATTTACCAAGAGAGGGCTCAATGAGAGCATCGAGCCTCTATTTAAGGATCTCCCATGCCCCACACAGAACATATAAGACAAATAAGCTCAAACATAAAGCAGGTAATTCCAATACTGCATTATTAAAATGTGAAAACAGCACCAGAGTGTCCAATTTGGCAATCATTCGATCATTACAATTTTGAGATGCTAATTTTAAAAAACTTGTTGTTCAGTTCCTGTGTTCAGAGAGCCAAAGTTCCAATTGAACAAATGTAATTGTTTTGGATAAATCTGTAGGGACATGAGACCACATGAGACTCAGAAAGGACAAATGGGGACAACTGGGTTCCCTCTATGATCGAGATTAGAAACATTACCTTTGTCTTTCTTACCCTCACTATTTCCTACAAAGCATGTTCGTTTTTCTGCTAAAACATGTTCAAACTTCTCTCTGCTTTACTTCATTATTATAGAGCCTGAAAGAAGCAGCTGTAATTCTTGTCTCCAAGCACAAGTTTGCTTGAAGATTAAGAAACTTTACAAACAAACTGCTCCTAAATATGAGTCGCTTTCACACACAAAAGATATTCATTCAAGGTTTGTTTGTGATGCTTGATTACACTTAATCTGCTTAGTCAGTTTCCTTAAATGAGGAGTATTCAGCTGCTTTGCTCATATGGGAACACACACTGGGCTAAGGGGCTGTGTTTATAAAGCAACTCGCATGAAAAACAGCCCATAAGCACAAAAACAAAGCAATCCTCTGGCCCAGTACATTTCAATCAATATTAGGAGCTAACCGCACCTCTTCCCAAGCAACGAGCTAAATAAGCAGGTTGTTTTCTAATTAGCTGTCAGTGGAGCTGTAATTTTAGAGCAAATGCTTGGTTATTTTTACTTTAGCAACCGAATGTTATGCTCAAAGTAGTGTGTTCAGGTCTGTATACATGTGGCTCTATGCATTACCAATATCCTGTAACTCCCTAAGCAACGATTATATGGATAACAGTTGGCAGATTATTCTTTCGATTAATCACAAGGTTAGTGAATATGGGACTTTTTAACATACTTGACCTACACAAAGATCAACTCTGTCGATCTTTGTTTAGGGCTATTCAAGGATACATTGAAATTGAAGCTCTCAGTTCAAAGTATCCAACAGTGACTCGCAAGACTTTTCTCCAATAGGTACCCAAGCTTTAAAATGCATAAATATTTTATTATTGTGAAGGAACAATACTTCACATTAT